TCAGCACGAGCTGTCAGAAAAGCTTTAAGTTCAGAAATGGTTGGTAAGTCTCCAACTATTTTATATTGTTCCCAATCATGAATTGTATCCAAATCTAGCTTATTAGTTACCCAATAAATGATTAAAGGATCCCAATTTTCAGTTTTGACATTAATGGCCTCAAGTGACCTTAAGTTTTTTGACAAAGAATCAACAAGGTTCCGAAGCGCTCTAGGAGAGTCTGATTTAAGTTCTGGAATGCTAAAAAGCGATTTGATGTGGTTATGTATCATTAACCTTTTATTATCAAATCTTTCGCACAAAATTTTCCAAGCTAGATCATAGTTATTGCCTGAAATTTCAAGATATTGTACGCATTGAGCAGCAGAACCTTCTAATGAAGCACGTAAGTAATGAAGTTTTTGAACTGGCTCAAGATTGTCAGCATTATGAATTAACGATAAAAATAATTCTTTGAATTCAAGCCAACCTTCGTACCTTCCAGAAAACTTAGGCAACTCTATCGTTGGAAGTTTAACATTGACTAATTTGGAAGCATTAGAGGAAGTAGAAAGGTTTGGTAACGTACTAGCATTTGGTGAGGAAGTGGGGGTTTTTGAAGCATCTAAAATGTATTCTTTTGCTTCGGAAATGGTTTTATAATAGAAATTTTCAAACGAATTTTCCTCGTCATCATTGAATTTCTCAAAATCTATTCCCTCTAAATCAAACTGAACAATATTGTAATCTGATAGTAAACTGCCTTCTAAATCTTTTAATCTTGTATCTAGTTCTATTATTTTGGAGCTACTAAGTTCTGAAGATTTTAAATTATTTAAAAATGAACTAAATTTTCTCAATTTATTATTTAAAATATCTCTTTTCCTTAGAAGATCTCTAGTTTTTTCACTGAAGTCATCAAAATTTGTAGTATTTGTGGTTGACCTTCTTCTAGGCATTTTGACTTATTGAAATTGAATTGTTAGGGTGAATATAGCACCAATGTTAAATAATGTTTTTATACAATTACCTGTCAGCACCTTAATAATAGTTAATTGGACAATCTACTACCTACTAAATTACTAAATACCTAATACAAAATGTCAAAATCCTGTAAGAAATATTCGTATTAAAATGTACAAAAATAATGTATAAAATTCGTCCAAAGTCAATGACTCCGACTTGGCTTTGTATTAAAATTGAGATTTTCCACTAGCAAAAATAAATAAAGATGATGATATACTTATTAATGAATAATGTCTCGTCAAAAATGTTCACTAGTAATGTTAAAATGTTAGTAAATTTATCTAATTTAAGCGCACGACCCTAATGAAGCCTGACTTGGACCCCAAACGTAAAGAAAAAGAGTTGTTGGCAACGGTCGCCACTTCAACTGCACTTGTGCAAATATAAATGTATTTTTTCTGGTGATATTCCACCAAAAGGAGTTTCTGGACAATCGCTTCTGTTCAATGAACGTTTCTGTACTGAAGGTTGCCAGGAATAATGAGGAATAATGTTACCTTTTTTGTTCCTTAGAGCACCTGTCACTGTTTCTTCGTACTGAGCTATACTTCAACACAGTAATGGTACCTCTAATGTGTAACGATACTACGGCGGCGATGGGTCAATAGATCATCCGGCTCGAAGGACCAAATTTATTATGTTGAGACACGAGCTAGTACCAACATGCCGCTTTTCCGGTTAAAGCACTAATTGAAGCATGCTTTCGGACATTGCGAATAATTGAACTTGAAAAAGACTGTAAATCACACCGTAGTATATTGAATATTTAATTGTATAGGTAAAAGAAAAAGTTAAGCTGACGTAGCTTCAAAGCTGGAGCCCGTGAACGTAGAAAAATGAAAAAACTGAAGCTTCAAAGACAAAAGGCATAACCTCTCTAGCTTTTGAATCTCTAAGCAACTATTCAACAAAATTTTAATTGTTTTTTCTGGTCCAACTTCTATTGCCGTTGTTCCGCGATGAGTTCGCGCTGATTCCGGAACGCATTATCACGTTCAGTTCCTTCAAGACATGACAGCTCAATCAAAAATAACTATTTGGAAAGAAATGAAAATCAATTCAAAATTACTTTGAAATTCGTTCCAACAAATAGCATCTTTAATATTTAGAAGATCGAGAACTGTAATATTATCATGTCCTGCCGCAGCATTACGTTTGAGGTTAATTAAAATTTCATTGACTTCGTACCGATCTGTTGGCAGTAAAAAGATTGTTTTATTACTTGTGACCTCGCTAAAATCGACGTTTACACCAAGCTCCATTTTTTCCAACTCCACTTCCCCAACTATTTTAGAGCCTATTTCCGAAAAATACTCATTCAAACCAGAGGTAATTTCTTTCAGATCATTGGTCACTGAACCCTTTATATTCATTTCACTTATTTTACATTTTTCTACTTTATTACTTATAAAATAATTAATTATGTTCCATTGTTTCCTTGTATTGTTACCGGCATTTTCCCATTTATTTCTAAAGTATTTATTTTTAAGTTGCTTAATCTTATTATTTACCTGGTTTTTTAAATTTTTAAATGAAGTTGCAAGTTCAGGGTTTTCTCTATCTTTAATATATTTTTTATACGAATTATTTCTTTTTTTAATTAGGTTCAGTAGCTCAGGGGTTACCCACTCATTGTTCTGATGTACCTTTAGTTTTTCAACTGTTTGTGATTCTGTTTTTGCTTGAGTAACTAATTCTATTAGTTGTTGAAAGGTAGTTATTGAGGTATTTTGAAGTTTCTGGCAAACTAATGTTTTGTATTTGTCAATTTTTAAATATTGTTTTTGAATGAATACCTTTTGTTTGTTATTGGTCACTCTTTCCTTGAAATCAAAGCTCAGTAGCCTGTGATCCGAAAGAGGAGTATCCTCAACTTTAACATTACTACATCTACTTTTAAGATTACCAGAGCAAATCACATGATCTATCAAGCTACATGAATTATTACTTATCCTTGTTACGCAGTCATCTCCTATTTTATTAATAAGTATAATTTATTTAAAACTAACATGTCTTTATAATCTTTGGTTATGAAGGAACCTTGGTCCAAGAGATTTACATTCATATCACCCACTACAATGTGATTGGATGGATATAAATTCAATATATATTCTAATTCCTCTACAAATTCATTATAAGAATACGATGGTGGTCTATAAATAACACTAAGCTTAAGGTTCTTACTCCCTATACTAACACATACCCAGTTATATAATTTATCCGGAGTACTTCTAGCTAGTTCATGGAATTTGAGGGTATCTCTTACAAATATGGCCGCGCCGCCGGCCGCCTCTGGATTTTCGGCAAGAGTGTACCGCCGAATATCCCCCAATGTTATAGAAGGGTGTTTCTGTTTCATATAACCACGTTTCTGTCAGCACTAAAATGTCACTCCCAAGGTTACACTGAATTTCGTCGATCTTATTTCTCACACTTTGAATGTTTATGTATTCAATACTAAGATTTTTTTTTGTTATTAGTTTTTTAAATCATCCGTGTGTTGAATCAATTTAATCTTGCTAGCATCATTCTCTCGCAGGAAGATTTTCCCTTCACTTACCCAAAGGTATTTAAAATCATTTTCCCTTTTAAATTGTTTTGCCTTCATAAAAAGTTCAAAGTTTTGTTTAGTTAAGTCGTGATTAATATAACTGGGTTCAGGAGTATTTGATTGATTACCAGATATCATTGCTGTTGTAAGAGATATATTTTTTTTCACAAGCATCCAACTTTTTTTGTCTTCTGGATTGTTAAATATTACTTTAATTGGTGCATGTGATTTTTTGTTTTGTCCATTACCCAATCTGATTGATTTCTGAGCCTTGGAGGGGATTTTTAGAGCTTTGGCAATCTTCTCAATCACTACTTGAACATTTTCATTTTCTTCCATTGGTACTCCTTTAATTATTAGGTTATTATTTAGTTCTTTTTGTTCATTGTTATTCAATTGGGCCTTTATTACATGTAGTTCTTTTTGCAATTCTTGATTTATGTTCAGCTGTTCTTCATATTTTTCAAACAGTCTATTATATTTATTTTCCATCTCTAAAAGTTTAGACATGATGTCTGCTATGGTGTAGTCATCCTTCTGATTTGATGTTTTGGATTTATTTTTCTCCGAAGTGGGAGATTTGTTGCATTTTTTACATTTCCATGGAGCATCGGATTTCTCCAATTTTTTGTAAGTTGTTTTACTCATTTCCAAACATTCTCTATGTGACCATTTTTCACAACTATCACAGCATAGAGCATGTTCATCATCCCCAACAGTTTTTAAGCAGATGTTACATTTATCCGACATTTCTGTTTGGATATTAAAAGTATGAGTAATTACAGCAGGAAAATGTACTGGCACAGTCCGGCAACATTGGCCGCTCGCCGCCAACACAATGGAAATGTTTTTGCAAGTTTTACCTTGTTTATAGCCTTGCCCTTATGTATACACTGAAAATGCCACAATTTATTCACTTTAAACTATGCAGAATAATTAAATAACACTAAAATTTGGAAAAAATTTCACAATTCGACTCTCAAACGTAAACAAATAACTCGCACCGTTGCCGTTCGCAATTGTTTCAATGTAAGATCGTTATATCATCGTAATTGCGCCCCCTAGCGGTCATCTTAGAATTGTGGAAATAATTTCCATCAATTTCTCTTGGCCGATTTAGTGGAGAAAAGAAAACTCCCGAAGCCGTAAGGTCTATGGTTTCCATAATATCGTACCTTGCCAACCTTAGTGGGCCACCCTGTATAGGTATTTTGTGGTTTATATTTTATACTCAATATCGACCTAACTTTTAACAGGGGTAGAAATCGCAAGCTGTTTACCCTGAAGAGGATTGAAATCGACTATCGAGCATCATAACGTTGACAAGACTTTAAATAATCACCAAAAAGTGTAATCTGAAAAGCTTTTGATATCTACCCCTGCTAAATTTTTAGTCATACCAAACTATCTATGTACTAACTTTTACATTTAATTCATTTTTCAGCCGTTGCCACGAAAACATCACTAATACTAGCCACAATAAGCTGTTTGTTACTATTTTCATCTATGCAAATATGGAAAAACTGGCTAGCGTTATCGAACCAGCAAACATTACTTGGGGGTCTACTTGGCTCATTTCTTTTTAGTTTCACGCTAACTGCAATTGGCAACTTTGAAACATTGTTATTTGGAAAATCTTACAATTTGGGTCTTTTTCCGGAAGGTAACTAAACATTATTTTATTTACTGTAGAAATGGTACTTCGAGCATTTTTTATGGAATAGAGTTGAAATAGCTTTATTTCGAATGTGTAATCTGAAATAGAAGCATGGAGCAAGAAAAACAAAGAGTGATAAAGTGTCAATGAAGAGAAACAAAAAAACAGAAATCATAACATAGGTACTAAAATACCGATATTTTCCATATGGAAAATTCACAGTACAAGCGTTTAGTGTACAAACCATTGCGTTTACATTATACTGCGATATATCGCGCTTCTAGACATGGCTATAATATGCAATACGTATGGTTATGCTTTATGCTTTTTGAGACAAGTGCGCTAATCATCTATTTTTACAGCTGCCGCAAAACAAGCAGCATACCAAATCAAAAACCAAGATTTTAAAGATTTGTATAATGCCATCACATGTGTAAGCTGTAAGCCTATACAGGGTGAATCTGAAAGTGAGGTTCTTTTGATATATATCTCACCAAAATGAGTTGTTTGGCAAAAAATTGTTTATATAAAAAAATTAAGATAACAGAGTTACAGCGGTCTTCTGAGGTTTAAAGAAGACTTCCACTATAAAACATTTCGTTTACTTTTTCTCACAAAAAAAACGCGAAAAATGCCATTATTAGTCTAGCATTATGAGTCTTATTCCATAATAGGTATTCTCAGTTGCATTATTTCATCAGAAAAATCAATAAAAAACAGTTTTTCAATTTCAACCTATTGATTTTCGTTTTAAAGTGAAACAAACAAAATTTAGGAGTTAAATGAAGCATTATTCTCCGTAAGACTACGAACTATGCGCACATCAGACAAATGGGGATAATTTTGAACAATTTTTGTGATAATTTTTATCATGTTTTCCCCCGGCTTATTGGGTCGCAGTAAAGCGGTAAAAACGAGCTATCTGCGGCCAAGCAATATGGGGCCGGGTTGCAAGTTGGATGGGTGACCTCCGTGACACCCGATGCCGAGTTCAAGGGAATCTCACCAGTAAAGGCGCATCGAGGCACCGCTCGTCGGTCGACCGTCCAACTTGCAGAGTGAATGAGGAGGAGTAGGGCATGTGCAAGGATACACAATAAGTCTTTAAAAGGCTGCAGTGCTGAGCATATGCCTGAAAGAATGGAGAAAATCAATCAATCAATCATGTTTTCTCTAATAAATCTTAGATTGTTCTGACTATAAAATCGAGATGTTAGTTCAAGGTTGTCACCGCTTTAATTATGCAAATAAGGCAATCTGAATATAAAATCGATATGTTTATGTTAGTTCAAGGTTGTCACCGCTTTTGCATACATTAAGTGCTGACTCATAGATAGGCAATAATTACTTATACATAATTGAAGTCGGGTAAGTGTTTGGAAGAAGTCCGGAGAGGTCAGGAAAGGGCTGGATAAGGTCTGGAGAAATCTAGACAAGTCTGGATAAAGTCTGGATAAGGCTGGATAAAGTCTAGCTAAGTCTGGAAAAGTTTGGATAAAGTCTGGAAAAGCCATAAAATTTATGGAAACGTCTGGAAAAGGCTCTATTGGATCTGGAGAAATCTAGACAAGTCTGGATAGAGTCTGGAAGAATCTACCTAAGTCTGGAAAAGTCTGGATAAAGTCTGGAAAAGCCTGGACATTTCTGGAAACGTCGGGAAAAAGCTGGATAAGGTCTGGAGAAATTCAGGCAAGTCTGGATAAGGTCTGGAAAAGTGTATTTGAAGTCGGGAAAGTGTTTGGAAGAAGTCCGGAGAGGTCAAAGGGCTGGATAAGGTCTGGAGAAATCTAGACAAGTCTGGATAAAGTCTGGATAAAGTCTAGCTAAGTCTGGAAAAGTCTGGATAAGTTTGGATAAAGTCTGGAAAAGAGCCAGAAATTTTCTGGAAACGCTATATTAGGTCTGGAGAAATCTAGACAAGTCTGGATAAGGTCTGGAAAATCTATCTAAGTCTAGAAAAGTCTGGATAAAGTCTACAAAAGCCTGAAAATTTCTGGAATCCTCTGGAAAAGGCTTAATAGGGTCTGGAGAAATTCAGACTAGTCTGGATAAAGTCTGGATATGTCTGGATAGAGTCTAGCTAAGTCTGGAAAAGTCTGGATAAATTTGAATAAAGTCTGGAAAAGCTTTAATTATGCAAATAAGGCAATCTGCTTTAATTATGCAAATAAGGCAATCTGAATATAAAATCGATATGTTTATGTTAGTTCAAGGTTGTCACCGCTTTTGCATATATTAAAGTGCTGACTCATAGATAGGCAATTACTTATACATAATTGAAGTCGGGTAAGTGTTTGGAAGAAGTCCGGAGAGGTCAGGAAAGGGCTGGATAAGGTCTGGAGAAATCTAAACAAGTCTGGATAAAGTCTGGATAAGGCTGGATAAAGTCTAGCTAAGTCTGGAAAAGTTTGGATAAGTTTGGATAAAGTCTGGAAAAGCCAGAAAATTTCTGGAAACGTCTGGAAAAGGCTCTATTAGGTCTGGAGAAATCTAGACAAGTCTAGATAAAGTCTGGAAAAATCTAGCTAAGTCTAGAAAAGTCTGCATAAAGTCTGGAAAAGCCTGGAAATTTCTGGTAACGTCTGCAAAAGGCTTGATAAGGTCTGGAGAAATTCAGACAAGTCTGCATAAAGTCTGGAAAAGTGTATTTGAAGTCGGGAAAGTGTTTGGAAGATGTCCGGAGAGGTCAGGAAAGGGCTGGATAAGGTCTGGAGAAATCTAGACAAGTCTGGATAATATCTAGCTAAATTTGGAAAAGTCAGGATAAGTTTGGATACAGTCTTGAAAAGCCAGAACATTTCTGGAAACGTCTGGAAAAGGCTCTATTAGGTCTGGAGAAATCGAGACAAGTCTGGATAAAGTCTGGAAAAATCCAGGTAAGTCTAGAAAAAGTCTGGATAAAGTCTGGGAAAGTCTGGAAATTTCTGGAAACGTCTGGAAAAGGCTTGATAAGGTCTGGAGAAATTTAGACAAGTCTGAATAAAGTCTAGCTAAGTCTGGAAAAATCTGGATAAGGTCTGGAAATTTCTGGAAAACGCATGGAAAGGACCCCGCAATATTTAAATGGAAATTGGTTACCCGTGATATTTGGATGAAATTTAAATATGTTATTGAGGATGCCGTAAGCAACATTTTTTAACATGGGCACAACCCTGTATATATGACAGGTGAAGCGTGGTTAGCTGTCAAATATTGGAATCTTATATCCAAAAGCAGAGTAACTATGGCAGATTTTGATGAACAAAAAATCTATTTCTACTGAGTCGACCAAATTAAGTCGAAAAATGTCAATCATTTTGACATCTGCCAAACCCCTGCCAAACGGCAGCACTCATCTTTTCCAGTTTTCAATATTTTATTATGTCATTTGACATTTTTAACTTGTATGTAAATTCTGAATTCAAAAATTGAAAAAAAAAAATGACAGTACTGTCAAAATGACATCTTTGTGGATTTCATTTGTAAGTGTCAAAATTTTTGAGTTCTATCATGATTTCATTAAAGTATTCAAAAAAAATCGCCGGTATATAAAATCGTTTATACTAAAACTACATACTTTAAAATGAAAATTGACATCTCTGTCAAAATCTGAAGACTGCGTATAATGTTTTTTCATGCGTTATCATAAATAAGCCTAACCTTAATTGGAAAAGAACTAGATTTAATTTTTTTTTGAATTAAAGCTATTGACAAATTACTTTGTTCAATGTTTTATCACCAATACACTACCTTAAAACGAGAAAGAACCAAATTAAAGTATTTTTTTCTACTGAAGCAAATGACAGGTTTTGTCATTTTTTTTTGAAATTTTTGAATTCAGAATTTACATACAAATTAAAAATGTCAAATGACATCATAAAATATTGAAAACTGGAAAAGATGAGTGCTGCCGTTTGGCAGAGTTTTGGCAGATGTCAAAATGGTTGACATTTTTCGACTTAACTTGGTCGACTTAGTAGAAATAGATTTTTTGTTCATCAAAATTTGCCATAGTTACTCTGCTTTTGGATATAAGAATCCAATACTTGACAGCTAACCACGCTTCACCTGTCATATATACAGGGTTGTGCCCATGTTAAAAAATGTTGCTTACGGCATCCTCAATAACATATTTAAATTTCATCCAAATATCACGGGTAACCAATTTCCATTCAAATATTGCGGGGTCCTTTCTGGATTGGGTCGGAAAAATTCTGGAAAATCTGGAAAGGGTTGAATTTTAGCGGATCTCAAAGCTCACAATAATCATAAGCATTATCGTTGAAGTTTGCTTCGGCATTTTCAATGTTCTCCTCGGTTTCATCTTTGTGAAGGACTGTGCATTTTTTATTTATGTGACAATTCCCTGACAATATGCCTATTAGCTGTGCTATTAGATATTGCTCTGTAGATGGTTGTTTTTTAAAGCAAGGAAGTGGTTTAATATTTTTTCGAGGTCCAATAGAAGAATCTAGGTATGTATAGGGTTTTCCAATAGTAACGCTCGATGTTTGACAATAGCCCATGAAAAACTCGATAGTCACACAGGTGCTATCTTTGGCAGCCGTATTCAATTGGTCTCTGCATTTTATTATGGAGCGCTACATTATTGAGCAACGCGTCGGAATTGTTAAAAATTATTAACATTATCAAAACCAATGTTCTATTCGAAAAATGTTTCGTGCACTCCGTAAAATTTATGATGTCAACGATCGTCCTTCAGAATCCACAATTGGCCGACCTAACGTCACTGGATTTTTTTCTCTGGGCATTCTAAAATCCAAAGTCTATGTTGACAAACCTCGAACGGTTGCCGCCTTAAAGGCCAACATTAAGCACTTATTGCTGAAATTGAGCCATTTTTATGCGATAACGAACACTAAATGATTCTAACGACAATCTAAAATTGTCGGAGAAATGTATTGATAATTCGGATATTGTTGAAAACATCTATGGAGAAGTAAAGTCCGTCGATTTTAATCTAATACTCGAAAGGAATGTGAGCTGGTGGCACCTTACATTTGAAC